TCAAGTTACACAGCAAATTAACCATTGTTGATCTCTATTTTGTTATGAGAAAAAATGAAAGAAATAAATGTTTATTGCTGAATTATTTGTTGAATACAATTCATAACCATTATATATTCACCATAAACTGTGGCATTAAAACATGTTTGTTTCATTTAATGTATTTAAAAAATTCTACTTCACTATGAGGGCTACAACCTGTTATGGTTTAGATACAAATTGGCCCCGAAGCCTCCTGTGTTTGGAAGGTGATTGGATCACAGGGCTCACAGCTGACTTGCTGGTAGGAGGTGGGGTCTGGTTAGAGGTGGCCACTGGGGTGTGGCTAGAAGGGTTCATATCCCTCCCGCTCCTCCCTTCTGATTGTGTCTGCTATGCCCAGAGCAGTTCTCCTCCCCCAGACCCTTCTACCAAGCCCTTCCTGTCTTGGAGCCGGCTATGGGCTAAAAATCAGCCAAAATAAACCTCTCCTCAAGTTGCAGATGTTGGGTACTGTGTCCCATGAAGGAGGAAAGTGACTAAGACTTGACATTGCTTTCTTTTGGTTCCCACTTGCTTAGTACATGCACTTTTGCCTGTCTCTTCAATTTTAGCCTTTTGGATCATTTTAATAGGTATGTGTCTTGTTTTCAGCATCTTGCTTTGTAAGCAAACTTGAAAATCTTTTCCTTTCAATGGATAATTTAAAACCATTCATATTTACTAATATGAAGTATTTCATCTCAGCTTATTTATATTAAAATTATTTTATGGACTAAATATATTTGGATTTTTGTTTTTATTGCTTTTCTCATTTTTAGATGTTTTTTGTATGTAGGAAACCTTGCAGTTTTGCCTGCTTATCTTTTACTTACATCTTAATACCCTTAGTTCCTGTTTCTTATTTAACCTTTTATTATCTTACTATTTCACCTTTTTTGTTATTTTTTTGTTATCTTTCACCCATATGTATTGCTTATATCACCATCAATGAGTTTATTTTCCTCTTGCTCTTTTCCCACTTCTAGTTATTATTTCTACTTTATCAGAACCTATTCTACCTGCCATGTTTCTATGGAAAGTTTGCTTTTCAATGTTCCAAGGAACATCCTTCATACAGCACCCTCCCTCTCATCCCCCCTTCCTTCAGAGGAAGAAAGAGTGCACTTTAGAGTGCACTGAGAAAGCATGCAGCACTTGATCTGAACTTCTCCATCTTCCTGCTGTGATACCCACCAGCACGACTGGACTCACACTGTTTCCTGTTTTGCTTCCTATCCCTGTTATTGTTAATCAGAAATCCCTGCACTATGCTTACCCTTTGGCTTCTTCCCTACTGTTCTCTTCCTTCGGTTGCCTACCTCATGCATCACCAATCTCTACACTTCTGCCTGCACAAGCTGCTCTGGGAACTCTCACCCCTACCTCCTCTCCTTGGCCCTTCCCTCCTCAACCACACACCTTCTCTTTGTGGTTTTCTCTAAAGAGATAGCCACTCTCCCATTAGCAGTTTCCTCACCAAGCTACTTTCATCTGGTTTGGCCTCCTCAGCAAAGCACTTATTATAGTTTGCATCTTAAATGTCCACAAAGCCATGTGCTAAAGGCTTGGTTGCTTCCTGTGGTGCTACCAGGAGGAAGAGGTATGGTTAGTGTGAGACTGAACAACAGTTACTCCATTTTGTAATGGGGCCCCAACTTGTCTGCTTCTGTTACGGATCACCAGGGGAACACTGAGTTCCAGGAATGTATTTGTTGTTGTGCCAGGAAGGTCTGTTGAGTGCGCAGTGTTCCGTCATGCTTACCCAACTCCATAACAGAACATGTTATCTCAAGAACAATTTGTAAAAATTCCCTCCTTCAGCGTTTTGCTTCTGTATTTCTGCTTGCCAGCTTTCCTCTAACATCTCCTATAAAAGGACCTCAGGCTCTGAGGCAGGAGCCTCTCTAAGCTTGGTGCTTGGGAGTGCCGTCTGGCCAGACTAATAAAGGTCTGTTTTAAGTTCACAACTTGTCCGGTGTGTTCCCTCCTGGGTGATCCTTGCTGTAGCCAGCTCCTCAGGAGCAGTTGGTGAGACACACGGTCTTACATTTGGAGGCCCCAGCGAGATGCCCGGGTAGGAACCCCTGGTTCAGCCAAGACTCCGTGGCGGGATCCAGCAGGAGACTCTCAGGCACAGACCTCAGAAAACCTCTGGAGGTGAGCTTTCGGCCGGTTGCAACCATTTGTTAAGTCAGGTGTGAGGTGGCTGACGAGCCGGGAAGCCTCCCCTGACCCTGAGGTTCCTGATGAGGAACAAGGGAAGATTTAGTTTCATTTTGTCGTGGCGCCCGTTCGTCTTGTCTTTTGTATGTTAGTGTTGTGTCTGTTGTGTGTCTGATTTCACATTTTTTTTTCTTTCCAATCCTCATCAGGAGCAGAGTAATGGGAGGAACCTGTTCTACCAGGTCCACTCCTCTTGACTGCTTTCTCACTAATTTTAAATTGGCTTTTTCTCCAGAACAAGAAGATGAATACGGGGTAAAATTGTCTCGCGGAAGACTCCGCTCTCTGTACCAACTGGAATGGCCAGCCTTCAGGGTGGGATGGCCAGCCAAAGGGACTTTTGACCCCCGTGTTTGCCGGGGGTTTGGGGCAAGGTCACCAGTTGTCCTGGCCACCCAGACCAATTTCCCTACATAGACATTTGGGTTCAGGCTTGTGAGAAACCTCCGGCTTGGCTGCAGCGGTGTTCCCTTCGAACACACACTCACATTTTAGTCACTGTCCCAAAAGGACCCCGGGGATTTAAGACCCAGGCTCCCAAGCAGGTACTCTCATAGGAACCTGACCCGCTAGACCCCTTGGGAGGGCCTCTGCCCTATGTGGAATCCTCCACCCCCTCAGATGGCTCCTGCTCTAGATCCCACGATCCTTCCCTTCCTCCGTCTGTTCAACCTTCGGTTCCTACTCCTCTCTATCCTCCTCTCCCTGAGGGGCCCCAGTCCCCGGACTCTGTGACTTCTCCCCCACATACACGAGCTGGGGATGCATACAGGCCTTGCGAGGTCCCCACTGGGGAAACTAGTTCGGCCCCTCTCTTGCCCCTTCAGGAGACAGAACAAGGTCACTATGTTTATATCCCTTTCACTACCAGTGACTTATATAATTGGAAACATCAAAATCTTCCCTTCTCAGAGAAGCCTCAAGCCCTAATATCTCTCCTAGAGTCTATCTTCCATACCCATGATCCTACTTGGGGTGATTGCCAACAACTCCCCCAGGCCCTTTTTACCTCAGAGGAGAGGGAAAGGATCTGGGGACAAGCTGTGAGGTTGGTACTAGGTGGACTGGAAGGCCCCCTAGATGACCAACAGCAAGGCCGTCTGGAAGCACAACTCCCATCCACCAGACCCCGTTGGCAAACTAATACCTTGGGCGGGAGAGAAGCTCTCCAGAACTATCGTCAGCATCTCCTGGCTGGCCTGAGGGGAGCCGCTCGGAAGTCTACCAATTTGAGCAAGGTAAGCGAGGTCTTTCAAGGATCAGAGGAATCCCCTTCTGCCTTTTTGGAGTGTCTGTTGGAAGCATATCATACGTATACTCCGATTGATCCAGACACCCCTGCAAATCGGCAGGCAATAAATTTTGCATTTGTTACCCAGTCGGCCCCAGACATAGAAAGAAGCTGCAAAGACTAGAAGGATTTGAGGGAGAGAATAGAGAAAAGTTGATGAGTGTAGACATGAAGGCGTTTAACAACAGCGATCCCCCGGAAAAGAGGATGGCCAAGAGGCTGGGAAAAACGACCATAGCTGCCTTGGCTGTTGGAGGATTTGTCCAGAAAGAAAGACCTGAAAATAAGCTAGGGAACAAGGGAAAGATTTGACTCTTATTAGAGAAAGATCAGTGTGCCTATTGTAAGGAAAAGGGCCATTTTAAAAAGGACTGTGAAAAGCTAAAAAGAAAAAGAAAAAAGGAGACCCAAAAGGAAAAAGGTGGAATCCTCTTAGTAGATGAAGAAGATTGAGGGGGCCAAGGCTCATGGCCGCTCAACCCTAGTGAGCCTATGGTGACTTTGGAAATACGGGGAACAGATGTCCAGTTCCTTGTCAACACTGGTGCGGCCCACTCTGTCCTGAAGACCCCCCCTTGGACCCCTCACTTCCTCAAAAACCTCCATTACTGGAGCCACTGGGAAAGCAGCCTCCTACCCTTGGACCACTAGATGGACTGTGAATCTAGGAAAAGGCACCGTCTCCCATTCCTTCTTAGTTATCCCTGAGTGCCGGTACCCGTTGCTGGGAAGAGACTTGCTATGAAAGTTGGGGGCTATTATTTCCTTTGAGCCTGAAAGAGGGACCTTTGAACTTAAGCCACCCTCTGCCATTATGGTGATGGTTCCCCTAGAAGATGAATTCAGATTGCTAAAGGAGGGCGCAGAGTCCCCCGAACAGAAATGGGACTACCTTCAAAAAAAGTTTCCCAGGGTATGAGCTGAAACCAATCCACCTGGGCTGGCCAAGCACCATGCCCCAGTGGTGGTCCAGTTGCTGGCCTCTGCTGCCCCTGTCCATGTGTGACAATACCCCCTCTGGCTGGAGGCCAAGGTGGGAATCTCTAAGCACATCCACCGACTCCAAGAGGCCGGCATCTTGGTCCCTTGCCAGTCAGCCTGGAATACACCCCTGCTTCCTGTGAGGAAGCCTGGCACCTCAGACTTCAGACCAGTACAGGATTTGCGGGAGGTAAACAGCCGGGTGGAAACCACCCACCCAATGGTACCAAACCCCTATACTCTGTTGAGTCTCATCCCTCCTGCTCATGTGTGGTACTCAGTATTAGACCTCAAGGATGCATTTTTCAGCCTGCCCCTAGCACCAGTGAGCCAGCCCCTCTTTGCCTCCGAATGGACTGACCCAGACACCGGGACTACTGGACAGCTGACATGGACCTGGCTGGCACAGGGATTCAAGAACTCTCCCACTCTGTTTGGGGAAGCTCTCAGCAAAGATTTACGAGAGGTAAGGAGAGCTTTTTCCCCAAGCAACTATTCTTCAGTATGTAGATGACCTCCTGGTGGCAACTTTGACCGATGAAGAATGTCTTGCAGCCACCAAGGGCCTCCTGGAAGTTAAGACTTGGGATATCGGGTGTCCTGGAAAAAAGCTCAGCTTTGCCAGACCAAGGTAACCTACTTGGGCTATATTCTTGAGGAAGGAAAGAGGAGGTTGGCAGAATCAAGGGTATCAGCAATTCTCCAGGTTCCAGAACCAAGCTCAAAGAAACAGGTGCATGAATTCCTAGGGGTGATTGGGTATTGCAGAATTTGGATCCCTGGCTTTGCTGAAATTGCCAAACCCCTGCACGAAGCCACCGTGGGGGGAGATATGCCCCTCAAATGGACTGAGGCTTGCCAGCAGGCATTCCAATTGCTTAAAACTATGCTTGCATCGGCACCAACCCTGGCATTGCCAGATATAACCAAGCCCTTCACTCTGTATATAGCAGAGAAGAACAGGGTAGCTAAGGGAGTGATTACTCAGCCTTTGGGACCATGGAAGCGGCCGGTGGCATACCTCTCAAAAAAGCTAGACCCAGTGGCCCGAGGGTGGCCCACCTGTCTAAGGACTGTAGCAGCAGCAGCTGCTCTAACCTGAGAGGCTGACAAACTGACATTCGGACAGGATTTGACTTTAGTCATTCCCCATACCATTGAGCCCTTATTAAACAGCTCCCCTAGCAAGTGGCTATCTAATGCCAGATTGTTGCAATACCAAGGACTCCTATTGGAGCAGCCACGCATCAAGTTTGCCACCACTGCTAGCCTCAACCCGGCTACCTTACTCCCAGAGTCCAACGAACAGATGCCTATCCACTGACGGGTGCAGCTTTGAGTGTGGCGGAGTGTGTTATGCTGGGGCGGCGGTGGTCAACCAGGACCAACAGGTGGAATGGGAGCAAGGGCTGCCCCAAGGGACATCAGCACAAAAGGCTGAGTTGATTGCTTTGACCAAGGCTCTGGAACTGGGTAAAGGTAAAAGGATAAATATTTTCACTGACAGCCATTATGCTTTTGCCACTGCCCATGTACACGGGGAGATTTATCAAAACTGAGAGCTACTGACCTCTGAAGGAAAGACAATTAAAAATAAAACTGAGATATTGACATTGTTACAAGCCATTTGGCTGCCCCGAGAGGTTGCTATCATCCATGTCCGTGGGCATCAAAAGGGGGATAGCCCCGAGGTGATTGGTAATAATGCAGCTGATCTGGCAGCGAAACAGGCTGCCCCCAAATCAGTGGGGAAACAGATGGTTCTGCTCCCTACACCGGTGCTGCCAGAGAAACCAGAGTACACAGATGAAGAAATGGTGGAAATGGCCAAAAAGTGGTGGACCCAAGGTAAACATGAATGGTGGACGACCAAGGATGAAAAAGTGGTGCTCCCAGCTGCTGTAGCAGATACGCTGCTACAAGAACTGCATAGGTCCACCCACCTTGGTGAGAAAAGAATGATGGCCACTCTGCGACCCCATTTCGTCAGCAAGGGAATGGCACAAAAGGCCGAAGACCTGGTGAGACGATGCCCCACCTGTATCAAGGTAAATGCAAACCGGGTAACTGGATCCCCCGGGGTCCGACATAGAGGATTAACTCCAGGAGAACATTGGGAAGTGGATTTTACCTAAATGAAACCTGGCATGTATGGGTACAAGTACTTATTAGTCTTTGTAGATACTTTTTCAGGATGGATAGAAGCCTTTCCTACTAAGAGAGAGACAGCCGAGGTAACCGTCAAAAGGCTCTTGACAGAAATAATTCTTCGTTTTGGTTTGCCCTTAGCCCTGGGGTCCGACAATGGCCCAGCCTTTATGGCTAAAATTATCTTGATTTATCAGTAAAGCTTTAGGGATAAAATGGAATTTGCATTGTGCCTATAGGCCTCAGAGTTCAGGACAAGTAGAAAGAGCAAATTGAACCTTAAAAGAGGTCCTAACTAAATTATGCCTGGAGACTGAACAAGGTTGAGTAGAACTTCTCCCCTTTGCCCTCCTTCATACCCGGTGTACCCCTAAGCTGCCTCTAAATCTGTCACCCTACCAGATCATTTATGGGCAATCTCCCCTGATCGTCCCTCTGGTTGATTTGGAGTTGAAGGAAAAACTTTCCCACCTCCAACTCCTTAAGTCCCTAAAAGCAGTCCATCAGCTTCAATTAGAGCTACATGATAAGCTGAGAAAAACTATGCCTGGTCCCAGTGAAAAACCTTTGCAACCCTTACCTTATAAGCCGGGAGATTTGGTTCTCATTCGCAGGTTTGACTCCAAGACCCTAGAACCCCGCTGGAAGGGACCATTTCCCATTGTCCTGGTGACTCCCTCAGCAGTGAAGGTAGCTGGACACTCTGCCTGGATCCACTGCAGCCATTTAAAGGCGGCACCCCTGGAGGAAATGACATCAACATGGCAGATCGACCGGAACACAAACGACCCCCTCAAGATAAGATTGATCAAAGACTAGTTTGGACAATATGGGGATTCTTGGGGCTACTGTTCTTATCAGGCCCGATGGAAGGGGGATCTGGACACCAGCTGGTGCTGTCCAGCCACACTCCCCAGAACTGGACTTGGTCCCTAAAAAATGACTTAACGGGAGCTCACATTGCCACCATTACTACTGATAGACAGCCCCATTTTATTATAGACCTGTGTGCTCTGGGGCTTCCAATCATTAATGGTGTGTGGGGGGGCTGGTTCAAAGGGTAAAGTTTCATCTGGAAAGATGGGTAAAGGGGGCTGCGGAGGGAGGTGTGGAACAGATGATAAGTTGGAAAAAACCCTCCAAGACATAGATATTTATGCCTGCCCCATAGGAAAAAATAAAAGGTGCAATGGGGGACCAGGAAACCACTGTTATTATTGGGGTTGCAAATCTATTGCCCCGTGGAAAAACGATGATGCGTAATTGGCCTTGGAACAACAAACACCAAGTGGTTCATGTTCCAAAGGAAAATGTAATCCCATCAAGTTAACTTTAAAACAATGGCAGAATCTGTATAAAGATTGGGAAAAAGGAAAATCCTGGATGATGGCACTCTATGTGGGTGGAAAGGACCCTATGACTGACCTCCTCATCCAGCGTAGCCCAGTAATAGTACTGCCTAAACTGGTAGGCAACATCTATAGGGTCTCTGGCCCTCAAGAAAAAGAAAAGGCAAAAGGAACCTATAATGTGTCATTAGCTGCTCCTGAATCTCGGATCCCACCATAACTAAAACCCCTGGATGCCATGTACACCCTGTTAAATGAGTCTAGCTCCAATCTTACCCAAGGGTGTTGGCTGTGTTTGAGTCCACGTCCCCCGTATTATGTAGGGTTGGCAGTAAACAGCACCTTCTCAGAAGTTGACCAGAATGAGTGTGATTGGAAACAACTGAGGTTGTCAATTGGGGATATAAAAGGAAAAGGGTCATGTGTTAAGAATCCAAGTGTTACATCTTCTTATCTGGACAGTATATGTTCTTATCAGACACCCACCGCCAGTAATGAAAAATATCTAAAAGCTGGAAACAATGTATGGTGGGCATGTACAAATGGTATAACTCCTTGCTTGTCCATGACAGTCCCTGTCCTGGCGCTCTCTGCAGCGGACCCCGTCCTGTCGTGCCGCGGGCCTTTCCCGCGCTCTCCCTTTCCCAAGCGTCCACATCCCAGTCCTCGGAGCGGCCGCTGTCGCTCCGCTCTGTCAGTGTCCCTTGCAGGGAGGACTCACCCTCCTCGGCTTGGGGTCCGTTTCTCCCGCTTGGAGAAAGGCAGGTGGTAGCCCCAGGCTGCCATTTGGTTTCCCACAGGCCAGAGCGAACCAAGGACTCAGGACATATCCGTGCGGGGCAGGACCCGCGGGGCAGGACCCTCTCGGCAGGTGCTCGGGAGACCGGATCCTCCGATGCGCACGCGCTCTCCCTCCGGCTTCCGGACCAGCCACCCGCGGTCCCCGACCTCCGCTACGGGCGCCACAGGTCACAGGTCAGGAAGCCCCCCTCGCGCCCTCGCCTTCCGCCACTCTTGGGGGGCGCCGTGTCGCGGACTGTGCGAAACCAAGTGTCTAGGGCTTGCTCCAGGCTCAGCCTTCCTTGCTGCAAAACCTCTCACAGGCTGTCACAGGAGCGGGAGCGCGGGCGGCCTGCCAAACATCCTCAACCACAGGCCCCGCGCTCGGGGGCGGCCCCTGCATCCGGGGCGGGGCCTCCGCGGGGGGGGGGTAGTATCAGGCTCCGGGGGCGTGTCCAGGGCGGGGCTCTCCGGCCCGCCCTCTTTATCTTCCGCCGAGCCGCGAGGGGTCGCCGTGCTGTCCGGTCCGAGTCCCTGAGTGCCCGAGGCGTGGGGTGGCGGCGGGAGGCCAGGCCGCAGTCGGGCGGGGCGCTTGGTCTTCGCGTCCTCGAGCCCGACACCGACGCGGGGCACAGGTGACGCTGGGACCAGGGTCAGGCGGGCGCGGGGCCTCAGGACGAGGACTCGATGCGGCCCGGCGCGGGGCGCGTCTGGTGACTCCACCGAGGACCGGGGCGGGGCGGCGCGGGGCGGATCTCGGTCCGGGCGGGTCCTGCTCCGGGCCGCGTCGGGCCCACGCGCGGCCTTCCAGTCTGCCGTGCCCGTCTGGCGGCAGCCGGTGGGACCGCAGCGTCAGCACACGACGCCCTGGTCCGGGCCCGGCCACCTCAGAGCACTCAGTACAGAGCCTGTGTCAGACCCACGGAGACACAGGCCGCGCGGCTAGTGAGCTCGAGCAGAGGAGGAGCCCGAACACTTCCCAGTGCAGCCGCTTGCCCTGGGCCAAGCCGCCTCCTGTGTCCAGGAGCCCTGAAGAGGACAGGTCATGAGTCGTGTGACTTCGGGGGTCACTGTGGATAATCCCCCCTTCTCTGTCTTGATTCTGCACTGTGGTGAACCTGCCCAGGCGTTCCTCATGCTTGCTGCTCGCCTGTTGTTTGTCCCTCTGGTCCTTTGGCCCAGTCATTCATCTTCTTTTACCTTTTTTTAATGTTAAGTTTATTTATTGGTATACTTTAGGTATATAGTATAGTTACATTCATCATTGGGATCTTGTACCTTTGGGGGGGGGGATCTTGTACCTGTACATGATGCATCTTGGTTCTTATTTTCATCCCCACACCCCTGCCCTCCCTTCACCCCCTCTACCCCTCCCTGTTTACAAAGACTTTGTTTCCATTTTTTTTCCTTTTCTCATATTTTTCTTTTCCCTTCTTTCCTTTCCCCACCCCTCCCATTTCCCCTACTCCTTTAGACCTTTTCTTCCTATTTCACAATATCAGTTATGCATTTTGATCCTTATTTACACTTTTAGTTTTTCACACCAGAGAAACTGTTCAGTATTTCCACATATGTGTCCTATTTATTTCACTTACGAATATGGCCTCAATGTGCATCCACTTAGCTATAAATGTCTCTAGCTTCTCATTCTTTATGGCTGAGTAGTACTTCACTTTATAAAAAAACCACATCTTCTTTATCCAGTCGCCAGTTGATGGGCAATTGGGTTGTTTCCAAGCTTTAGCTATTACGAACTGTGCTGCTATAAACATGGGTGCACATATATCGCTGTGGTATGATTCTTTTAATTCTTTTGGGAAGATCCCCAGCAGGGAAGTAGCTGGGTCAAATGGGACCTCCAGTCCTTGTTTGAGGTGTCTCCATGCTGGTTTCCACAGTGCAGTCACTCCTGAGGAGGAGCAGTGTTGGCCAGCCCAGGTCCCCAGGCTCGTGGGTGGGGAGCAGGTCTGGAGCCCAGTGCCTCCCCCCAGGTCAGATGGGCCACATAGCTCTGACTGTTCCCAGCTGCTGCGTGAACCTAGAGACCACAGCGCCTGGTGAAGGGGTGGTTTTCTTGCTGATTCTTTACCCAGGCAGTTGGGCAGCTCTGAGTTGGTCAGTCAGAGTGTATTTTGCTATCTGTTATGGATCCTCAGAGCCAGTATCCTAGCTTCTCAGCGTATCTCAGACTTCCTCTGAATCACAAGACAGATTTCATTCAGCGTCTCGGGTCCTGAGGAATGTCCCTTCATCATTTTAGAAGTGCCATTTTATTCCTTCACAGTGGGAGTCTGTCCCCCTGGGCAGAGCCACAGGTGTGGGGCGCGATGGCTGAAGCTGGGGTGCTGGAGGTCCTGCGCCTGAATGTGGGTGGCTGCATGTACACTGCCAGGCGCCAGTCCCTGTGCCGCTTTAAGGACTCCATGCTGGCGTCCATGTTCAGTGGTCGTTTTCCTCTGAAAACGGACGAATCAGGTAAATATCCCAAGTCTAGAAGCATGCTCATGAATATTCATGAGAAGAGTCTGTTTCCTAATTACACTGGAGGATATTAGGTTAGTCTACTAATTACTGAGACCATCAGGACCGTGTGGAGTCGTTAAGAGTACAGAGAAGTTAAATACCAGGTTCTCAGCTCTGTGATGCTGCCATCAGAAGTTGACAAGGAGTGGGTGTCTAAAGGCTGGCCAGGGCCTGTTGCTGGGATTAACTAGCACTTGACAGTTGTCGCTGCATGTGTCTTCAGGGTGACTGTATTGGGGTATTCTCAGGGTAGGGAATGCGCGTCTCTGGAGAGAGCAGCTGCCCGGATGTTGACCAGCATGGCTGAGATGGCAGTGTGCTGACACTGCCAGCTACCAAAGTCAGAGCTTTAGAAGAAACTAAAATATGAGGATAGGGCCAGGTCTGGGGATGCAGACCTGTAATCCCAGTGCTCTGGGAAGCTGAGGCATGAGGATCGAAAGTTCTAGCCTAACATGGGCAACTTAGAGCCTGCCTCAAAATAAAAAATAAACAAAGACCTGGGGATGTAGCTCAGAGCAAAAGCCCTGGGTTCAGTCTTCAGTACTGGAAAAAGATGAAGAAAGAAAAGGATAAGGTTGTGGGGCTGTCCTGTGAGGTTCCGGGGAGCTACTGCTGGCTGTGAAGAACCCCGGCCATCTTCCAGCCCTGCCTTCGAGCTGCAGCGCCCCCTGGTCCTGTGTCGGAGTGGGCTGAGTAGGAGAGGCTGCACCCAGGTGGGCACCCGGTGCGTGCACCCTGGTGGAGGCTGCACAGTGACAGTGCTCGGGGATCGAGCTTCATTCTTCCCCCGTTTTACCTCCCAGTCCTTTTCCAGGCTTTCCAAAGAGAAAAGGAGTTCTTGAGAAGCCCCATGCAGGAGGGTTTGCCCCATTCTGCTGAGGAGAAGTCTCTTCTCCTAAGGTGGTGCCTGCATATCATTTATTCCTCTCCACAGTGCAGGTTCTCACACTCCCAGGAGCCAAGCAAGGCACCCAGCTGCAGGTGCACACCCGAATGGTCCCCAGCTTGTGTGGCTGCATCAAGCCAGGGCGCATTGTCTAGCACCCTGTGCACCCTCCTTGCATGCATATGCACCAGCCCCCTGCCCTGGACTGGCCCAGCTTCCTTCCTGCCAGCCATCGAGGTCCCCTTGGTGATGGCAGTGGCCACCCTAGGTAGGATACAGGGATTGCATCCAAGGTTCCGCGTGAGCATGGTGCGCATCTTCCTGTGTGCTGGGTGAGAACACAGGAGAGGGTGCCCTCCTGTCCGGCAGGGAGTGTCCCTGGCAGGGGCTGACACAGCGGGGGCTCAACTTCTTGTGCGAAAGTGAAGTCTAATCGCCAGGGAGCCAGACCAACTCTGACTCAGTGACACTGTATTGATGGTGATGTGAAGCTGTGCACTCAGTTTGTGCCGGATGTTTTCCAGGGGCTTGTGTCATCGAGCGTGATGGACACCTGTTCAAATACCTCCTGGATTATCTTCACGGAGAGGTTCAGATCCCTGCAGACTCGCAGACTCGCTTCGCCCTGCAGGAGGAGGCCGACTACTTCGGCATCCCCTATCCGGACAGCCTGTCAGACCACTTGGCTAATGAAATGGAGACATACTCTTTAAGGTCAAATATAGAACTTAAAAAGGTCTTGGCATTTTCTTAAGTTTTGTGATACATATTTATTTATTATACCCAAAGCAATATGTATTGTTTTCATAGCCTATGTTATCACATAGACCAAAATGAGACAGTTTTAATAATTTTTGAAGACATGTTTCTTAATTACTCCTATTTTTAAGGTCAAAATTCAGTTATAAAAAAGCATGTTATATTGCCATTCAGAAGTTTCTCAGGTTTCACACGTGTGCAACCCCGCACTCTGGGAGACCAAGGCAGGAAGACCCCAAGCTCAAGCCCAGCCTGGACAGTTTATTGACATAGTAAGAGCCTCCGAACAGAGTGCCAGAATAAGAGAATGATTGGGATTTAGCCCAGTGCAGAGGCCTTGGGTTCAAAAGTCCTTAGTAATGCAAAAGTCAAGTTATAGTCCTCATTGAGTATTTATCACTATTTGTTGTTGGCTTTTAAAAATAGAGCTATTCTGCTCCTGAAGTTCTCTTCAGATTAAGAAAAATAGTATAATGTGTGAGGGAATAGTGACAACATTTTATTTCTTTATAAAAGAGTAGTCATGCTATGTATACATAGTATGCATACATATGTATATGTGTCTGATTCAGTGAGAATAGTAGTTTGTTACAAGGTTAAAGATCAGTTTAAAAGATTAGGTTAAAAGATGAGCAATTCATTTAAAAAGATTAGTTTTGATGAATTCATTATGAGACAAATCTTTTGAAAATGTTTCTATTTTGAGTCATTTAAAAAATCTTTCTGTGATCTGTCTTATTGATAAGATCTGGTAAGATCTGTCTTATTGAGAAATACTATATTTGCTATCAAATGGCACCCTGGGTAGCTGCTCCTGGTGGGAACAGACCCTCATGGGCTTGAGTTCTTGGCTCAGAGGCCAGTGTTCAGGAAGCGGTGCTGGGTGCTTGGTGGTCAGGAGCTCTGCGCAAGGCAGAGGTTGGTGCCCTGGGAGTTGTGTGGACATCAGTTCTGGATTATTTCTCAGGTTAATATCAGGGCTCACAGTGCTTCTAGGCCGAGTCTGCAGAGGCTCTGAGTGTGGGCTGGAGGCCAGAGGGTGCTCTCCTGCTCCTGACCCAGGGCTGCTGAGTCGGAGGCCTCGCCGGTGTTGCAGAACAGAGCGCGCTGTGTTTGTGCACCAGTCAGCATGTGACCATGTCAGTGTTTGTGACACGTGACACTGAACAAGGACTGTGCAGCTCACCAAGAAGTGCAGCGCCTGCTTCTTTCCCTCCAGGTGGCCACAGTATAGCTGGGATTCTGACAGAAGTACAAGTGAAGCCCAGGACCCATGCAGAGCGAGACTGCAGTGTCAGGTGGATGTGCAAGGCGTGTGCGCCGCCTTGGCGAATGCTGGGCCTCTCCTGGGTGTCAGCCCGTTCCGACACTTGAGAGGGTCGGCAGAGGGGACCCCAGGGCTGGCCTTGGGTGTGGCGCCGCTGCCCCGTGTGCTGGTGGCTTGAGCGCACCTGTCTTCTCGTGAGCTGGACCTCTGGAGGTTGGGCCCTATCTGTGCCTCCGGACCTTAGTGCCCAGCACACAGTGGGTACTCAGTATTCAGGTGAATGAACAGGCGGGGAAACTGCCAAGCACCTTCAGACGGTGCGTGTGGATGTCGCCCCCTCCACTTCAGTGTAAAAGAGCGAGTCAGCCTGGCCAACCCGTGATTGGAATTGTCAGAGCCCCCACAAGGCTTGTCAGTCCAAGGTGAAAGGAAGATTGAGGCAAATGGGAAGTTTTTGAGAAAACAGTCCAAAAAGGAAAGAAAAGATCTAACTTTCAGTCCATGTATGAAAATTGTAAAAGGGAGGAACGTTGGGAGTGGAGAAATGTTATAAAGATTATATTTTATAGAGTATAAAATTAAACATGATACTGGCAGGCTGAAAGAGGAGATAAAAATAGAATTTCCACGTGGGAAAAGCTTCTCTGGATGGAAAGGTGTTGGATTTGGGGCTGGTGTTTTTGTCATTCCACCCCCAATTAATGCATCATAAACATGTTTAAAGACCAGGCTGAAGTTTGTCATCTTTGTATTTCTCTTCTGACCATCTCCTCTTGCAGCTCTGCATGAAAGTAGCAGAGCAGACTCGTTTCTTATTTTTCCCCTGGTTAAATTCCAGTGTTGTGCATGTTTCTTGCTGCAGGCCTTGGCAGACTTCTGCGGCTCTTACGGCTTGGTCTGCAGCGAGCCGACTGTCTGGGTTTTGCACTACCTCAGCACATCTGGCGCCAGCTGCGAGAGCAGGGTCATTGGGGTGTACACCACCAGGGCTGACGGCACGGACGCCATCGAGCAGCAGCTGGGCCACAGGGTCCGCAGCAAGAGCATCTTCAAGAGGTAGGGCTATGCCACCTGCGCCCGCCGGGGCAAGGGAGCCCTCGCTCTGCAGGAGGTGTTGCTGCATGCACCTGGCAAGGCTGGTACCCCAGAAGCTTGGAAAGGAAAAGAGGGAGCTGAGCCTGGTGCCCCAGAGCACGTGTCCACCTCAGCTAGGCTGGGCACACGGAGACAGAGGACTTGTCTGGGGCCACATATACAAGGCGTAGCTAATGAATATCAGTGGCAGAACTTCCTTTTCAAAAATAGTTTCATTGTAACATTACAACAAAGCAACACAAGTTGAATAGGTAAGCCGGAAAAAGGACCGGTCTGCTAACGTCCTCGAGTGCTGCCTCTCAGGCACACGTGCGAGCAGTGGAGGCGCTGCCCTCCGTGCTCAGTGGTGCTACCCTCCTGCTCACGGGGGGCATGAGCACACTGCCTCTGCACACGCCCCCTCGCCCCCGACTGGGAGGGCGCAGGAGGACGAGGCAGCACAGTCCTGTGGCCTCCTCTCACAGGGCCCGCTGTCTCCCCTGCAGTCCACACCGGAGCCCCAGGTGACTGGTCCTGAGAACATCGCTGAAAGTCACATGGCTGTGTTCAAAGCTTGTGACTCTGTGGACACCCTGCCCTGGCATGACTTGGGTGTGTCGAGCCCTTCCAGCTCGCCTTAGTGTTTCCCTGTGATCTTACCTGGTCTTCTCACACAGCAGAAATTGTACTTCATTTGAGCAGCGGTCAGTGGCTGACACATGACTGTGGGCTTGTGCTTTGGCTGATTAGATGTCAGTTTCTGGTTTTCTCTATAAGCGAAGGTACTCCTGTGATACAGAAGTGCCTGGCGTGACACTACAGGAGTTTTAGTCCAAGTACTACAGTCAGCTGATTTTTTTTAAAACCTGATTTTAGAAATGTGTTGATTTGCCGGACATGGTGGCACACCTCTGTAATCCCAGCACTTGGGAGGCTGAGGCAGGAGGATCACTGTGAGTTCAAGGCCAGCCTGGGCTATGTAGCGAGAGCCTGTCTCAACTCCAGCCCACAAAAGAAATGTGTAGATTTATCTGTTTTATATTGGGGAATTAAGTATTTTACTGTGGTAAGAGATCGGATGTGGGTGAGCCAGTAGTGTGGTGTTTGTACACACGTGTGTATTTGTGAGTGCGCAAATGCGCTCATGGGCCACAGAACGAGTCCAAGCCACTGTTTCCTGGTCATCACAAGCTCTGAGTATCCCTCAGCTTAGTGTATATACACACGTTCATATCTACATGCTACATTTTCATGATTTTTTGGTAATTTTTCTAGAGAGGCTGGGAATAACATCCAGTACATTTGGAGCTATTACTCGGTGGCAGAATTGAAGAAAATGATGGACGCCTTTGATGCGTGGGAAGGAAAAGGTACGGTGGGAGTCTATGATTCTGTGGAAGTGGGTGGACTTTTCCTTCACGAGACAGTGCAGGTGCAGGTGCTGCTGTTGTCTTTTTGAGCAAGTGTTTCCGAGAGTGATACTGAGGCAGCTCTTTCCATTCTTCAGACCCCAGGGCTTTAGAATCACATTATAGGGAGGGAAACGCGGGGACGTCATTTAAACAAGTGCCATAGCCCTTGTGTGGACTGGGGCTCCTCAGTGAGGTCCCTGTAGGCAGCTTACACAGCGAAGCTGTGAACAGCCTGGGGCGCAGGGGCGCAGAGCTGCTGTACGCATGCTGCTCTGGGCAAGGCAGAGCTGGGGAGCATGCTGTGACCCCGTGTGACTGCACCATAAAGGTCCACTCTGTAAAAAATGCAGCCTGACATAAAAAATCAGGCCAACTCAGTGGGCCAGGTCTGGGAAAATCTGAGCCTGTTAGGGCTGGGGGCATCATCAAGCAGTTCCTGCAAATCAGCTTCAAATGGGGCTCACAGAGCTCAGTAGCCTCGGGCAGGGGCACCCTCTTCCGGTTCTGTGCCCTGCTAGCTAGGTCGGTGATTATTACTAGAACTTCAGTGATAAAAAGAAAACAACTCTGCTCCTGGGATGTATGAGGTTATTCTTTTTTTAAAGCCAAGGAATTTTTATTCAACATAGCTCTTCGAGCTTTTTTGTGTCTATGTATAATTTTTTGTTTTTAAAAACTGAAGTGAAATACCTGTAACAAAGCTAACTGGCTGGAAGTGTCCAGCCACCGTGCTGGGCGGCCACTACCCGCAATTCAGACCGGTTCCAGCCCAGCAGGCACGGTCTGCTCCGCAGCCACCACTCCCTGCCCTGCTTTGTGCCCAGGCTGCCTTGTTGCCCGTTTCACGGGGCTGGAGCCGAGCAGCAAGTGACCCTCGGGTCTGGCTCCTCTTGTTGGTGCTGGTTCCGAGGCTCACGGGAGCGAGGGGGTCCAGTGAATCGCGGGCCGTGGTGGAGCACAGTGTTGCGGGACGTCTCCTGCTTGCTCTGATTGCCCGCGTGGAGGGCTCGATGCCACAGGAGCCTGGGGAGGGGACGGGGCAGGGACCGAGCTGCGAGCCACAGGACGACAGGTCCGAGTCCTCTGTCACGTGTTAACGCGGCTGTCGCAGTAGTCCTGCATGGTGCATCCCAGCGCCGCCATCCTGTCAGAGGGTGTGAACACTCAGGCCCAGGCAGTGACTTCCTAGGCCACGTGTGGGGTCAAGGCCAGCACCCAGCTGTGTCCCAGGCTCACCAGCAGCAGGGCCAGGCGGCTCCGCGGGTAGCACCCCAAGACCCAGCACGGAGCTGCTGCCCGGGGGACCCCAATGTCGCCAACGCGGTCCTCTCCTCCACAGGCGTCAGCTACTGGCGGGTGCCCCACGAGCTAGTCGAGTGCTGGACCCTGGAGCAGCGGCCGCTGCTCGGTAGCGTGTGCCATGCCGCGCCCCTGCGCAAGAGGTACCCGAGACTCGTCCTTCGGCCCTTGGGGCGCGGTGCAGGTTCTCGGCCCTGGGCCTCGGAGGGCTGTTGGGTCTGGGTCGGCCGTGAGCATCCTGCCGGGCCACGGGGATGTGTGGCGATCTCAGTAACTACACGACTGCGAGCGCACAGGCTGGGGCTCGCGCTCCACAATGGGGCAGAGGCTTAACGCCCTGCCACCCTCCCCACCTCCCTGGCACATGGCCGCTGCGGCCCGGGAGGACGCCTGCGGGTCTTCTCGGGGCCGCTGTCCCGGGTGGCTGGGAGAGCGACACCCAGTACAACCCGGGGGCCGGCGCAGCACTCCCGGGGGCGTGTGGTCTTGGAGAGCCGGGCGGGCTTCTTCGCGCTGGGTGGGGGAGGCTGCTCCGAGCCCCGCAGGCGCAGCTCGGAGGCTCTGCTGTGGGCCGCTGACGGACGGACGGACAGTAAGAAGCCAACCTCGTGTGCTTGCAGGCGCTTGGAGACCCGGGGAGCAGCGGAAGAGGCCGGGCCAGGGCGGCGCCGCAGGGCTGGGCCCGCGCCGGGCGGACTCTCGGGCCCCTCCACCACGCAGCTCGGAGCGAGCTTCGCGGGCCCTCGGGGTGCGGACACGGCCGCGCTCCCTCCGCCTGCCCCGGCGCCCCGCCGGGTGGTAAAGCTTCGGAGGACCCCGCTGTGCGCCGCCCCCGCCCGGCCGCCGCCTGGGGCCCCGGGCGCCGAGGGGGTGCAGGGCGGAGCTGGCTGAGGACCGGAAGGAGCGGGAGCGGGGCCTGCGGCCGACGCGGAAGCACGCTGAGCGGCGGCGTGGTGGAGGGGGCGGTGCCCGCAGGCCTCGCCCCGCCCCCGTGTGGCCCCGCCCTGGGAGCCGCTCTGCTCCGCTCCTGCCGGCTCCCCGCCTCCTGCCGGCTCCCCGCCTCCTGCCCGCAGGGTGAGCCACACCGCAGGGGACGCCGCTGAGACTCCCAAGACTCCTGCGCCTGGCTGTGGAACGAATTGCGCAGACACCTATTTCAATTGGAAGTGAAAGTTTGAATGTATTTGGAAGAAGTTAAAATTGTTTAACTTTTTAACGAAAATTAAACCACTAAAGAGCCATTCTGACTATATGATTTTTATGGATAAAATTTCCATATAACTTGAATTTAATATTTTAAACAATATTTGGATTAAGCTCTTTTTTCATGGCTGTTCTCTTGCGTGTGTTTGCTCTTACATGCTATATTTTGTAACTGGTCACACACTTCTTTCAGAATTAAGTTCCTAAAGCAGGGTCCTTTCCATTGAATGCCTACTATTATCTTTACATTGCCTCGAAAGAAAATATACTCCAAACATCACTTACAAAATAAAGAAAAACCTTTCCATAAAAAGTGACATTTTATGACTGTATTTATTTATGCCTCAGCCTTTTAGTAGTTTGAAAGCTTGTTATTTACATTGGTTTTCTATTTCTGCCTGCAAAATTGCTTTCTTGTCCAGACAATGGACAAAATGATTAAACCCATAGGTGATTTATTTGGGTATAAAAAGCAGTTGTTGAATTGATGGTCGGTAATGACATTCTCCTGTGGAGTAGATGTACAGTCATCTGTTAATGCTCTTCTAGAGAACCCAGGCAGCTGAAGATGAAGGGCCACAGTGAGTTTCGGGGCTGCCCTCTGGACAGCATTGGTGGGAACTGATCTGGGACAGTGCGGTGCTGATTGATGTGGGGACATTTTATACCAACAGACATGCGCAGCGTGCATTTCGTACGAGATCTGGGGACTCTGTCTGGAGATCCAGGCAGTTCAGGGCAGTCCATGAGCATGCCCGGCCCTGTGAGTGAGTGTGGAGAACCCCCGGGGCCGGAGTCAGCAGCAAGGTTGGATGCTCCAGGCTTTGGGGTTAACTTAAGTTTATGTGAATAAGTATTTTTTCCACTTTCATCTTTCATTCTAAAACCCTCATAGGTTAGCAGACTGCAAACGAGAGTGGGACCTTATCCTAAGCCTCTTCTTGTTCATGGATTAGATGACACACAAAAGCTCTTAACTGTAAATGGAATAGTTTGCAAAATTGACCCACCCCATCCCAGGTGATGTGCGTTGAGACTGGCGTGCCCTGCTGAAATCTGCTTAATTGTGTCATGGAGAGCCTAAGGTTGGCAGGAGGGACCAGCTGAGGACTTGGCTTCCAGACAGTTTGCCTGTGTTGCAGTGAACTGACTACCTTCATATGTTTTGCTTACTGCTTTTTGCTTTCAGGAAAACATTATAATGGAAAAAGTCCCAGTTCCTAAAGATCAAGGAAATGGGGTTCAGGAAGTAACAGCCGTGAGATAATGGTCCCTCAGGCCCCTCAGCCCTGTGATCTGATTCTCACAGGAGGAGCAGGTACACTGGAAGCCTATGGGTTTGCTGACTGGAAACAGTGAAGCCCTGGGTCCCATGTCCACGTCCCACTGGCCGGAGACTCACTGCTGCACGGCATGCCCGGCCACGGGAGGCCTCAGAGACTGCAGGGCAGCTGTGGGCACCCCCCCCCCACCACCAAGGTTACTTTAGAACAGTTATGTGGTAGAAATCTTTAGGGAGTGCAGAAACTGATTTCTGACCTTTCCAGTTTACCATCAGAAGAATGTGCTCACAACCACATCTGCCAGGGTAATGCTGGTCACAATTAATGTGACTTGGCATGGTGTTTAAAGAGTGACATGAAAGAGCCGTGGTAAGAAACAGGCAGCTCAAGCCTGCAGGATGGGGAGAAGGTCAAGGCAGGGGCAGTGAAAGTGACCAAGATGCACCATGGATACGGATCAAGCCCCACAGAATCACTGTGCACCCCCAAATTTAAAAGAAATCAGGGAATTCTGATTTATATGTACCTTATGAGGATCTTTTTTAACCATACAAAGATCTTTTAAGAGCAGTAACAGTTCTAGATTAGTTGATTGTTATTGAATTGACAATAAAATGAATACCCGCTGAAAATAATTTCGACACTGGCACCGCCAGGTCCCAGAGCAGTGGAGCAATGCTCCTGACCTCGGAGGGGTGGCGGCGGGGCTCCCTGAGCTCCACTATGGCCTCCTTAGTGAGTGCTGACACTGGGTATGCAGAGGGTGGGCATTATCCAGCCTTACCTGACAGACAGAACTTGATTTACTCAGCATTTTGGATGTGCACGAAGGCCAGAGGGAAGAAATCTCTGCCAAGGGAAGAGGGGTAACACTTGTATCAGTTTAATCTACATTTGGTCTGGCGCTGGTTAGACACTAAAGTGCAGGTGCGACTTGCGTTTTCAGATGATGTGGGCGTGCGCATGAGTTAACTAGGAGCTGTGAAATCTGAAATCGGCGCATCTGTCACCTCCTGGGTGCTGAGCCCTTCCTTGAGCTCTGCCAAGTATCGGGGTCCCTGTGAGTAGTGGGGCCGAGTATCTGTTGAGTTAACATGCAGGCTTGCAAGAGCGCGGCCTGGCCACGCAAGAAGCATCATGCAGGGTAAAAGGAAGAGACATCTCCGGCTGTTTCTGGAAGGGCACACGGTGGAGGTTGTCCAGTGGAGCAGCCCTGAAGGGGCCACTTCCAGCAAGGGTCCTGTCAGAGAGGCGGTGAATGTGGTCACAGGGGTGGATTTGTCTCTGTTCACCTGTGTGCTACCCAGCAGCCCACATTTGCATTGTGTTTGCTCCATAGCTGGTTTCTGATGTAGGCTGTGGCTAAGACAAAGAATTTTACAGCAACAGTAGGTATTCTGCGCCATGTGTCTATTTAACCACTTGTCATTTTGATAATGTTGCTTCTCATATTTTTTGTTTGGTTTTGTTGCCTCCAGAGCTCTAATTACCTTAGTAAAATTCTGCTGAACTGCAAGTAGAAATTTGGGGGCCTGGGCCTTAGAAGAGAAACTTGGTTTAAAAAAAGCATCATGGGAAAAATAAAAAGGTAGTATATTTGCTAAAGCTGGGAAAAGGCAAATACTGCTGCTTCTGCCAAGAGTTCTTAAAATGTTGGGCCTTTCTGCTTTAATGGCAGCTCTTCCAAGAGTTCACTCCCAATCTCTTCTCTCAGAAGACCTGGGAATTCAGTCTAAGTGTGCACAACGCTAGTGGCTTAAGAACATCAGAAACTACCTTTGTTCCCCAGTTTCGGGCCTGGCTGTCTGGTATTGGTACTGCTTGGAACTCACAGCCTGCCCTTGTGTTGGCCTGGCCCGCCTCTCCCAGCACAGTCATGCCCCAGGGCATGGGCTCTCACAGGCCTCCCCTGGGCTGTGCCCTGCGCTGTGTATGTCAGCAACGCCATGCAGCACCTCTGTGCCCCAGGTGCAGGTCTCACCGGCATCTTCGGACTTTCCCAAGTGCCCCGTGCAGAGCTGGCACCCTGGCTGGGGCCGTCTTGGGGGAGCAGGAGGACTCGGACTCAGATGCTGGAAGTCACAGCGAGGGTGAGACCAGTGCAGGATGCCTGCGTTCCAGCAGGGAAGCTGTCCTTCCGCTCCTGGTGGTGTCTGGTTTGGGGATAGTATTAGAGATGTCTGGTTTGCTTTTCTGACTGAGCAGCAACCTAATGTAAACTCAGACGTGCTCTGTCCTGCGCCTTGCCTTTCACCAGGGCACACTCACCCTGTGCTGTGGATGTATCCGAGTCACTCATCTCACAGGGGAAACAGTGGCGGCCGAGGTGCCTGGCTACCAGCAGGATGCGATGCTGTCCTCACTGCGTGGCTATCTCCTGTGCTTGTCAGAGACCCCTGCGCACTTTCGAAGGGACGCTGGTTACCGACTCTCCCTCCTCTCCCAGATCCGGACTTCATTACCCTGCTGTGATGCTGGAGCTGCCCCTGTGCACACGTCTCTTCTGCCAGCTGTTAAGGTCAGTGGTCAGTGTTGTCACCACAGACGCAGCAGGATGCAGGGTGTGTGCCCCACCAGGGTGCCCCTCCTGCATGCCCAGCGAGCTCTGCCTCAGGCAGCTTCCTGCCTGTCATGAGTTCTACAGCACCCTGGGTGGCTTCCTGCCAAGTGTCCCTGGTGAGTCCCCAGCACCCCTGAGCAAAGCCACCAAGTGCTGTGCAGGGCTGTGGTGGCTTCCCGCTCCTGTGGATGGGGGCAAATCTCAGCTTCGGGGGCTCTGCCTTGCCTCTAGCTGTGCCTCCTCCCTGTTCCCGTGGCTCCTCTGTTCTTAGAGTTCTTGTCTCTTAGTGGTGAACCCTGTTACCAACTACTACCCCACACCTCTCTTCCCCAGGTGAACTTACAGAGCTTCCCCTGCAATCACTCCGTGGTCCTGGCTCCTGCCTGGCATGCACAGAAGGGGCCAGAAGCTCTTCCAAGCACTTTGCAAATGCTCACACACTCCACCCTTTAATGAGCCTTTGAGCCATTCGAGCACTGGCCTCCTCTTGCCCAAGGAGAAGCCAAGGCAATGAGATGTTTATAGCATTGCCTCTAGCTAGTGCAGCCTGGACCCCAATCCAGCAGGTGGCTGAGGGTCAGGCCCTGAGCCGATTTGCTCTCTCTCCATCCCCTCTAGCACTTGCTGGAGTATCAGATCTGTTTTCTTTCTTCCATCAGCATTTGAGTCCTTATTGTGCATCACGGTAATGTCAGGTAAGTTACAAAATGAAGGAGTTTACAGAATTTGTGTGCTCTCAAAAGACTAGGGATACTTAAGTCTAGTTCAAACTGAAGGATCTTTAGTTAAGAATAAGGTAATTTTAAACCATAAGTGCTTTTAACACATTTTTGTTTTGTACCAGGGATCGAACTCGGGACCTTACGCTGGCGAGGCAGGCGGCGGAACCACTGAGCTACATCTCTGGCCCTTCCAGTCCTCTTTTAAGACTTCTTTCTGTAGAAGTTCTCTGTCACAGTCACGGTTCTTTAGGTCATTCATTTATTTGTTTTTGGCCAAAATCTACATACTTTTTCAAATAAATAAATTTGCTTTAGGATTTATTGGTCTGGGAAAGTTGTGTACAGTAATTCCTGCTGTGGAACTTGCCCTCAGAGAGCCCCGGAGCTCCTCTGAACTGGACCCTGCGAGGTGAGAGCAGCGCTCCTCGCCTCTGGGAAACCCTGAGACCAGGCCGGGCGGGGCCGGGCGGGGCCGGGCGGGGGCGCTACGGGAGAGGAAACTCCGGGTTCTGCTGCTCTGCCTCTCAGGATGGGGAAGTTTCTACTCGGGCAGAAAACTTCCTTAGGAGTCAGAAAGGGTTGTTAGAAAAAGCGAAAGGATGAAAAACAGGATCCTTCTAAGGTTAGAGTATGAAAATTGTGCTTCAAGTTCTTAGCTCAGTAACAAGAGAACCACTGGGACTAAGTAATTCTTCACCATTTTTTTTTCTCACAAAATTAGAGCAATTAAGATGGCTCACTACTTGCAGGAAAATGTGGGAGAGATATATACACATTGAATTTTCCTTTGTCTTTTGCTGTTTTATAGTTTGCTTACGCATTCAGGAGCAAGGGTTGGCTTTTCTCTTTTGCTTTGCTTTTGGTATCTGGGACAGTGGCTTCTGTGTCCCCAGGCCTCGGTTTCCTGTCCTGCTGTGAAGCAGGTTTGATCGGAGGCTCCTGCTGAGAAACAAAAGCGCTACCCTCGCTGGACACGCGAGGGCGCTCCACACAGCAGTGCACGCAGACCCGGTCTTTGTCCAAGGGTGTGGTGTCCCGGCAGCCCCTGGTGCGCCCCTCAGGCCGGCCTAGGGAAAGAACTCTGTAGCCCCTCGGTCCCCACTCCTCACCGAATCAGGAAGGAGGCAGAACCCCGCCTGTCACTCCAGCCCAGACACTGCTGCATGACGCTCAGGGACCTCATATGACGGCGTCTCTCTCAGGGTGTTTCATTAGACCTCTTCCGAGGCCACAGAACTGTCCTGCTCGTAACTGGGCCCGCACTGGACTTGTGGTGTGGCTAGTCCCCGACGACGAGTCTCCACTGAGGGTGAGCTTCGCTTGACGGGGTGAACTTGATGTGTCTCGTTGCGGTGAACCTGGGTGGGCAGAGGACAGTCCACAGCGCTTGAAAGCAATCGTGCTGGGACTGGTGTCTTCCGGTGGAGATCAACATCTTGCTACACCAAGTGTGCAGAATCCCCCTGAGTTTATAAATTCAGGGCCGCAGATAGGGTGAACAGAGACTGCAGCCCCAAGCCCCGGACATTCATCTTTCTTGTTTGGATGAACAACTCGTCCTTCCTTCCCGGAATGTGACCTATCTTTCTGAATTCCTACGAAGCCTCAGTGCTGTAGAGAGAGTAAACATTCCTGCACTTGGCAAGAGCAGACGTGGACGCCCTGTGGCTTTCGGGTTCAGCTGCCGGACTGCTGTGAGGACTGCGTGAACCCGGCTGCTATGGCACAGGTCAGCACCGAGCTGAGCAGCAGCCCTGCAGCAGGAAGCGACCGGCAGACCCGGAGGGCGCCTGTCACTGCAGTGCAGCGCCTGGCGTAACGTGTGTGCGACACCACGTGGTCCAGAAGTCTGGTGCTCTGACTCCTTGGGGTCAGCGAGTTGCTGCTGGGTATGGCCTATGTCTCCAGCCGACAAGCGGCCTGTGCCATCCTCCTCAGGGCTTGGGAGAAGGACTTGCTCTGTGAGAGCTCCCCCACAATGCTGGCGAGACCAAGGCTCAGGAGGGACCCATGGGCACCCTTCCGAGGACCACGCAGCCCAGGGAGGAAGGGGCTGGAGCTTGAGCAGGCTGGACCCCAGGCACACTGTGACGCTGGGCTTTCCTGTCGCAGAGCCACTGATGGCCCTACTGTCTAAGCCAGGCTGGGCTGAAGTCACTTGGAACCCAGGTTTCCAGCTGTCACATGGTGGCTGTGGCTGAGGTCTGCAGCCTCCTGCCTGTCTCTAACTGAAGCGCCCCTTTTTATCGAAAGGGTGTACATGTACTCCAGGGAGTGCCATGAACAGCACGGCACAGAAACCGGCTGGCACCATGTTTTCTTGAGAGTACTACAGAGAGCACTGGGTAAAAAGCAGGCATCAATAAAAGAAGCAAGTCACGCCGTCAAATGCAGCATATTTTAATTTGTTTCAAATAAAGCAATATATGTATATATTTTTTTTTCCAGAAAAACACCAGATGTGAAATTCTACAAAAACGCATGTGTCTCAGCAGACTGTGTTTGTCTGACAGTTGAGGGTTTGTTTCCACGTGAACTCACTACAGACATCACAACTACGGCCTAGGTCTCCAGCCACATCTCGGATTCCTAACAAATGGTAAATACTGCCTGGCTAAATGCTGCAGTCTTGAGGAGAGGAAGTGCCAACAGATCAAGCAGAGCCATGAAAGTTATGAAGCAAGCACAGCTGGGTACTGGAATTAGTAAACTGATTACGAGAGGGTTACACAACATACGGGGTCTGTATATTCTGACTGATTTCTCTTTTGGCAGCCAGTGGGGTCAGCACCTCGGGCAGGGAACCAAACTGAGCGGGACCGCTCTTCCATCTCCTCACTCAGGCCACCAGCGTCACAGCAGGGACTGAGAGGACCGTGGCGTCTGGGGACACTTCTATTCTCGTGGGACAGAGGTTGCACTGTGAGACACGGCCAACGTTGCCCCGGAAAGGCCTGGCCTCAGAGCTGTCCACAGTGTGCTGCCTTCGCCGAGGCAGCTTTTCAGAATGGGTCAGGGCCTCGGGGGTTTTTGTCCCCAGGGGAGGATCTTGATTTTTGGTGCCACCTTTGTTTTTGGGGCGGAAGCCGTTGTGGGGCTGTCTTCTGTGCTCGTGTCGGGTGCTGCCCTTCGCCATGGGGTCAGCTTCATTACCACTGCCCTGCGACTTTGTGGGCCCATTGAGCCTGTTGTTGTGGTACTGGGGGTTAAATCTCCGTCTTTGGCTGGAAGGTCCATTCTGCAAAGAGAAGAGAGAAGTTCTAGATGCCAGCAAACCCAAGCCACAGGCGAGCTTCTTGTACCCCGGAAGAGTACAGCAACAGGCAGATGAGGCCCCACGGGTGTGATCCCTGACCTGAGCATAATGGGGACTGTCACATCAACGGAACTACAAGAAAATGACTGAAAGAGAGGTTAACAAGCAAGAGACAATCAAAAACTAGGTGTCAGGAGGTAACTTGGTGGCTCCCATGGAATGGGTGGGGAACATATGTTCACAGAGGTGAGTAGTTCTTTCTAGTGTTTGCCTTAGGTAGAGAAGGGCATTTCAACCTGTATAGGTTGTCACTGAAAACGCTAAAGCAGGAGCTGAAAAGGTATTTACTCCATAGCATTCAATCTGGTTTCCTCTACTTTTATATTTTTTATTTTTTATTTTTGTAATTTTGGCACTTTTACTTGGATTTTTAAAGTAAATACAAGTATCTTTGTACATAAGTTCTCATTCTAGAGAAACGCGCTGTTAAAAGGTACAAACATCTTTCTTCTTAAAAAGAACACTGAAACAGATAACTTTACCTGTTAAATCCTTAGTTGGCAATTTTATACACCTGGTTTGATTCACTTAACTCCAAAAGTTTTACAAAATTATTTTTGTTTCTGTCAGTTTTACCTGGCTATCAACTTCCAGTACACATACATTTGGCCAGAGGTCCATAAATAATATTACCATTTTCAATGGAGAAATCTTAAAGTTTTAAAGGGAGATACAGCTCAGTAAATAAATTCTCCTGGAGTTTCTTTTCTTTTTTTTTGGTACCGGGGATCAAACTTGGGTCCTTGCGCTTGCGCAGCAGGCAGCAAAACCACTGAGCTAAATTCCTGGCCCTCTCCTGGAATTTCTTGTAGCAATGGTTCCTCAAATTTAAATTGTTTGGAAATAGCTTTTTGCTCCGTTTTCTCTTTTTCAGACTGTCTGCATTGTCCTAAAGTATACGAAGTAACTACAATTAACTCCTCCGTCATAAGTGGTCCCTCAGATTCTGACTTCTCAGTATCTTCATTAAGTTCAGCCACAGAATCACCTTCTTGGAGGATGTCTGCTGCTCCCACTGCTCCCTTCACCATGAAAGGACTGGGGATACTGCCTGGTGTCAACCACGGGCGTCTAAGACATCCCTCAGCAGTGGCTCGATCTTCAGGTTTCTTAAGTAAAAGGTACTTGATGAAGTCTACAGCTTACTCAGATACACCACCAAATTCTTCCTCAGAACAGCTTAAATTCATCTGTGAGATGTTCAAGAACGTTTCTTGTTTATTATCGCCTAGGAAAGGTGATATTCCTGTAAGCATGACATATGTTAGCACTCCAGTGCTCCACATATCTGTTGCCATGCTGACAGGATCATAACTAGGAATTTCAGGAGCCACATATTCAGGAGTACCCATAATTTCTCGAAGCTCTTCACTGTTCTTCATTATTCTTGAAAGGCCAAAATCAATTATCTTAATGTCACCCAAAGGAGATTCACTTGTCAGCAGAATATTCTGAGGCTTCAAATCAAGATGAACTACATCATTAGTGTGTAAAAAGTGGACACCTTCTAAAATCTGCCTCATGAGCCTCTGAACATCTTTTTTTTAAAGGCTTCTTCTCGGTCTGCCACACACTGGTCAAAGATTTCGCTCCCAGCAGCGTATTCCAGAACCAAGATCATTTCTGAGGGAGTCCCATACACTTCATGTAAATTAATGACCCAAGGATTGTCCTGTGCTAGTTCAAGTACAGCAATCTCATGAAGTATCTCCATCCGACAGTCTTGGCCTTTTCTTCTTTTTCTCATGAACTTTGCTGCAAACTCTTGTCCAGAATCTTTCTTTATACATTTCCTCACCCCCGCAAACTTTCCCCTGCCCAGTTCCCGGCCTGGCTCAGGCGGCAGCCGTCCCGGAAGGGCGGGGCGCGCACCTCCGCGCGGATCTACATCAGCAGCCCTCGAGTCTGGGGCGGGGGCGAACCGCGAGCCGCTGCTGCCCGGCTTCTCCAGAGGAATCATGGCAGCGGCGGCGGTGGCCAGCGGCCCTTTGCTTTTATTTTTAAAATTTAAGTTTTATTTTGTGGTGCTGGGGATGGAACCCAGGGTTCTGTGCATGCTAGGCAAACGCTGTACCACTGAGCTACACCCCAAGCCCTGGCTTTTTTGTTTTTTGTCTTAAAAAACTGTGAAAGAGGAACAGACTAAATGGTAGACTTGATTTTAGCATGGTGTTTAATAATGAGCAAAAAATCAGAAGAGGTGAAGATGTATTTAGACTACAAGTGCAATAGATTTGATTATGATCTTGAAGCTATGAAGATGTAAATGCTCCTGTCAAAGTAGTATTTTAGAGCTCCCGAGGACTTCTGGGTCAAGGAGAGGCCGGACTCTAACAGAGTTAGAGGGGTTGTTATGGTTTGTGTCTAGATGTCCCCAAAGCCTCATGTGGTCACAGGCTATGTGGAGGGGCTGAATCTAGGGTGTGTGATTGATTCATGTTGGGGCCAGGCCTGAGGACACTAGGGTTAAGGGCATGCGTGCTACCCACCCTGTGTAGTCTGAGTAAGATAAAAGGGCAGGGAGATGCTGTTAAGGTTCCCTTGCTGGTTATGCTACCTTGTGCGCGCCATGAGCTGTTTCTCTTGTGCGACGCTCCTCTGCCCTGTGCCACCCTGCCTTGGAGCCAGCTGATTACAGACTGAAACCTCTACACACTGTGAGCTAAAATCAACCTTTCCTCTTTAACTTTGGATGCTGGGTATTTTGTCTCAGCAATGAGAGAAAAGTAACTAAGACAGGCGTCTTTACAGCAGGGCCAACTCCTGTTCCATCAAGTCCCATTTCCTGTTCTCTCTGACTGCAAGGGAGAGATTGCAGCTCAAAGGAACGGTGAAGCAGGAGAGAAGGAAGACTGTCCCTTGGAAATTTGTATTTTTAGAGGTCACAGTAGACAGGAATGAGTAATATCATTTTGAAATGTATTGCATTGCATTTACTGAAATCCAAGAGAAGTTTGCCCTAAAATGACCTCTTACTGATATACTAAACATTAACTGGGAGTTAAATGATCTTAAAAACACCAGTCAGGTTTCCTCTCCCTGATACTGAAGTGGCTCTGAATCTTGTTCCTGGGTCTGTGTGGGCTGGTGACAATCAAGGGCACTCGCAGATGCACCGTGGAGGGCAGCAGGGCACTTCCTTCCTTCCCCAGGTCGGTCTGCAGGGCCCCAGGGTGGCTTACCTGCTTGATGACCGGCAAGGCCTGGAAAGAGGGCTCCATGGTGCTGGGAAGGCCAGCCACCAGCTTTGGGCTGGCAGCTTTACCCTCAGGGCCCTTGCTGTTGTTGGGCGACTTCCGGGTGAAGCCACTGTGTCTCCCCGAGGCGGCTGCATGGGTGCTGAGCAGGGGCAGCAGGGAGCCGCAGGGGGTCCGGGAAGAGTAGCTGGCCTTCGGATGAGTGACTGCAGCGGGAAGGGCACAGTTACGTCAGGGTGGCCAGCAGGTCGAGGCCGTGCAAACACGGAGAGGAGTTTGAGTTGTCTTTCAAAGGCGCCACTGGAAAGGGACCTGGGGACCTGCAGTGCACATTGCCCTGCGAGGGTCCCCGAGCAGTGACTACAGCACACCGTCCAGGTTGGAGGCAAGTGCAGGTAAGAGGACAGAGCTGAGCAGAGTAAACAGCACTCTGTGGGCTGAGCACCACCAGCAAGATGAGGCCTGAGGCTGCGCTCTGGCCTGGCCACAGAGGCAGCTTGTCCTGGGTCCCTGCCACTAGGCCCTCCTGGCTGCTCCATCAGACACCACACAGATGGGGTGCACAGCCACTCAGAGTGCGGGCACGGAGGATGGGGTTCGGGACTTTGTGGCTGAGTCACACGCATTCCCCAGTCACAGGGCCAGGCCTGAGGCCCCCAAGCACCCTTTGTATGCAGGTCCTCGTGCCCTGCATTTATTGTTGCCACTCCTGCTGCTTGGAAAGAAGTGGCTCCTGATGGGATGATTTCTCCGTGATTGTACAGAAGGAATCAGTGTGAGGGTGAAGTGTGACTTCCCTCTCAGGGCGAAGGCTGGATAGCACCTGCTGGGCTGGACGCAGGGCCTTTTTCTCTGAATCTTACAATTGCCACCAATTTTAAAAAGCAATTTTCTCTGCTACCTCTGGTGGATCAGACTTAATCCCAGGGTTCAGCAAGAGGATTAGGAGTGACTAGTGGGGTCACAGAACAGCAGAAATGAAAATGGAAATGGAAAAGCCGAGACAGAGGTCCAGTGCCTTCATTGTGTAGGGAAGGGGTGAATGAGATTTGGGGCTGTGCAGACATAACCAGGAACTTCGGCCACATTCAGCTCAGAGTCAATGCTTCCATTCAGGAGCTGCAAGCTCCTGGTATGTCCTCCCCAAAGCCAGGACAGGAAGGCCCAGGGACTGCTAGCTGTCGTCAGGTGGACACAGGGAGCTGGCAGGGACAGCCTCTCTCACCAGATGGCACCTGGAGGAAGTGGGTGACCCACGCCTCCCTGCCCACAGGGACCTGTGGCACGGTTACGCAGGGCCAGTGTCTTGCTCATCTGCGGGACTGAAACCTGGGTGGGCACTAAACTTCCAGCTGTGAGCCTGAGCTCGACACAGCTGGGGAGGGAGAGCGGCACCCAGGCAGGGCTTTCAGAGAGAGGGGTGGGGGAAGAGAGCAAGAACATACAGGGAAAAAGGAATTTGGAAGACACGGAGTTAACACCAGGTATGCTAACTGCCCGAGTGTGGAGAAGAGCAGCCCACAACACTGCGGTGTGGTGAGAAACTCAAGCAACTGAGCTGCCACAACCAGAGGCTTGGATTAGAGCAGTTCTGTTTAAGGAAATGATCAGTTAGACAGACTGACATGGAAAACGCCTGCCAACTCTTGTGAAGCGATGAAAGTGAACTGTATTACTGTCCGTGGTTAATTATGTCATCATATGTGGATTATACGGGAATAAAAAGTATAAAGGAGACCCCCAAATAATGTCAAGTCCTATGTAATATAGTTGGATAACTTTAGATCAAGTTTATAGTTTTTATACTTAGAAGAAAAGCAATTTCCACTTTGAGAAAGTGCAGGGCAGTTGAGCTTCCCGGGCCTGGGGGCTGGAGCTGGTCCTGAGCTCCCTGCCCTCCCTGGTGGCTGTCCTCAAGGCCACACTGCTGCCGTCTGGCCTCCTGGGGTGGGCCGGAGTGTGTGGGGGGGTGTCAGCCAGTTCTGCTGCAGATGAGCTGCCTTCATTGAGGCTTAATAGGGACAAGACTAACGCTATGGGCTTGGCAAAGTCTCATTTCTCTTTGCTTCCTGTGCAGAGAGGACATAGCGCGGGGAGCGCAGGCCCCTGGGGCCTTGCTGGAGAGTCAGGCCCTGCCCAACTGCAGCTGCAGCTTGGGCACTGAGGACGTCTGTGGGACCAGGACTGAAGTCACGGGGGTGATGCACCGGGCGCTACTCGGGCAGTCTGCAGAAGGAGTAGCCCAGCTGACCTGCTCTGTTCTGCTTCGTAAGTCCTGGGGACTCACGGTGGGTGGTGGCATTCAGAGAGTCTACATTCAAACCTGGACATTTCTAGTGACTTGGGTCACGTGCTTTGAGCCCTCCAACTCTCCAGACCTCATGTGAGCCTCCGGGGACTGCACACCTGAGGTTCCCACACCAACTCTGACAGCGCCGAGCCCGCGCACACAGTAACGCTTAGCCAGGATGCAGAACTCACTTTCTCCACAGAGCGTGATTTGGGCCTTCAGCTGTTCGATATCACAGGAGAACCGGGCCGCCTTCCCCAGCTCTTCATCATATTTCCGCTCGCTGACAAAGTGCTGAGGTAGAGAAGGAAAGCGGGCCACACAATGGAGACGCGCCCGAGCCCGCTGCAGCCTCGCCTGCTCTGCTGCTGGTGCCCGGGGATGTCGCAGACTGGGGTCCTGAGACAGTCTCCCTGGAATACGTGTGGGACTTGTCTTTCTCCTGCTCAGGCTTGGACAAAACTGGGATGCAGCAAAAAAAGCTGCGTCTGGACTTGTCCCTAACCGCTCAGCGTCCCTTGCAGGCGCAGAGTTTGAGCTGCGTCTCGGCAGGGTTTCTTGGTGGGGCCCAGAGCCTGCTAAGTGATTAACCGCCGAGAGGAAGCACGGCACCCTTCCTAGGCACTCATCTCTATTTTAACAGGAAAGCAGCAAGCCCAGAAAACCTTCAGTGTCTGCACCTCAGCATCTACGGTGGGGTTTCAAGTGCTGCTACAGGAGGTGGGATAGATTATTTTTCATTCATTTAAAATTCAGTTTAAAATTAAGATCCATGTGTAGACAGAGTGAGAATGCAGAAATAACTACGACTCAGTCCCTCCTTGATTACCACATAGCAAGGGGGAGAGCCAGCACTGAATACAAGAACGTGGTTGATGCTTTGGGAGTGAAAAAGAGGAAGAAATGATCTCCTCCCGAGGGACTATTATGTGAAATGTTATGTGAGGGGAAGCATTTGAGCTGGAACATTAAAGATTACTGAACACTGTCCAGACGCTGGCCGAATTCTGACCACACAATTTCATTTGCTTCTGATCACATTGTTATGAAGCCAGCACTGTTACTGCTTCCATTCCGCAGATCAGGGAGCTGAGGCTCTAAGACCTAAGATCATAAACCATTTATCCCCGGCCACAGAAGTAGGGTTCTGGGCTGTCGGCTGCCCTCCGGAGCTCTGCTCCTCACCATTGGAGGATGTGTGTGGTTTGCTACGCTGCAGCGAAACCTGCATGAGCAGCCGATGCCAACAGACCAGGAGGCTGCAGTTTCCTGTCCGTCACTGCTGTGCTACCACGCTGGGGACTTTGGGGGGTGGGCGCGTGGGTGGAGGTAGGAATCCAGACTGGAGTCCGGCTGGTGGGGGATGGACCACAAGAGGGAGCCCAGGTCTGCTTGGGGTAGCCTGGGCTCAGGGTGGCAGGCGGGCTGCCGGAGACAGTGAGAGGGGAAGCACCTGCAGAGCTCCAGGTACCATCTCCTGCCCAGGGTCCCTTTCACACCCAACCAAGGTGGAGGGGCCTGAAAAGCCATTTCCTACCACAGCCAGCCAGCACCACTGAGCAAACTCGCTGAGCAAACTTGCTTCTAAGGCTTGCAGTGCGGTGTCTTGAAACTACTTGGTTTCCTACAAGTCCTGTGTGCGCCCGCACATGCGTGGTATACTGGGTGAAAGAGAGGCGAAGAGGACTTCATAAACTGCAGCTCCCTGCTGTGTTTTAAATACTTTTTCTGGCCTTCCTGGTAACCATTTCTTCTTCTGGCAACTGCACCCCAAAGCCAGCTGACAGATCCACAATCTTGGTGGGTCTGCACATCAAGCCACCGACGAGTTGACCCACATGGAGGCCAATCAGAGCCTGTCTTCTTGGGATTTGCATGGGGGGTGGTGGCACAAGGGCTAATGACGCTTAGAGGTCACTCGCTCCTGTGGTGCCTGGAGAGCGGGAGAAGAGTGGCCTCCCACATCCCCGTGAGCTCCCGTGTCTGCCTCACTTGGACCCAGGCCTTCAGATCACACTCTGCTAGGTGGTCTGCACTCAACATTCTTCCAGACTCTACTTGTTCTTAAGTTAGACAAGGTCAGTTTCTGTTGCTTGTAACAAAAGCTATCTAATAAATGTAGGTTGAGATTTAAAATTTTAAAACACTTGGTAGTAAAAGACACATTGCCATGAATCTGCCTCCCACTACTTCCCCACAGTTCCAACACACTCATCTCATTGTCCCTGCAGTTTCTCAGCAGTTCTGGAAGTCCTCTGTCCTCTTTCGTGAGTGTCTTTTGTTGTGCTGTTGTGGCTACCTTAATGTCCTAAATGGATTCAAAGCGTTTTCATAGTCATTTTGACTTTGGGAAAGAGCCAGGGGTCAAATGGTGCCAGATTCAGTGAATGAGGTGGGTGAAGACACACAACATGTGTTTATGATTCTGCCTTTCTGTTAGTTGGTGCTCCACAGCAGCACACACTGTATGTTTTTTTTTTTTTTTGGTGCAGGGGAGATACTGGGGATTGAACCTGGGACCTTGTGCTTGAGGCAGGCAGTGGAACCACTGAGCTAAATTCCCAGCCCCACACTGTATTTCTGATCACACCTCAGAGAGACACATGAAAGAGGACTTCTAGAACTGCTTCAGAAAGTGAAGAATGATGAGCTAAGTGTGTTCAAACCAAGGGGTGTACTATGAGGGGGATTAATGACAATATCTCTTTTACTGTAATTAATTAAAAAATGTAAACATAATCATATATTTTTATCACACCATGTACACATTTGGGGGTAGTAATCTTAATAAAGCAATTGAGCAAGGAAACGGTAAAGGAAAAGTCTTCACGGATGGCACGCTTCATACCCTGCTGTTACACTCAGTGCATCCCCGTGTGTGTGTAGACATACATATAAATTGCACAGTGTGAAACAATACCCCTACCCAGCTCTAATCCGTGGCTGAGTACACCACATTTGGGTTAGCCCTTCGAAGCACATTATGCTGAAATACAGTGAGTGACTGGTTCCCACCCCTCTGCATTCCGTTTCCACCCCGAGGAGGGCTGGCTGCGCAGCACTCGACACTCACAGAGAGCTCTGGTGTCCACACAAAACAAGCATGGGGGGCTCAGGCCCTCGGCCACTCCAGAACTGACCTTGATTTCTGCCCTGAGTTCGGCTAGCTGCAGCTCTGCCATCTGACTGGCTAGATCAGTAAGTCTCTTCAGTTCTTCTGCTTTCTTCTGACGAGCAGTCAGGATTTCCACTGCCAAGTAAGGAGGAGTAGTATGTTAGGGCAGAGAGCTAAGCAGATTAAACGAGCACCTTTCTGGGAAGCAGCTCTTCCTCAGCTGGGTCAGTGTTGGCACCACCAACCCACTTCTTTGTGTCCTGACCCACTGCACCCTAAATGTGGCCCTGCTGCTTCATCACTGCCCACTGCTCTTCATTTTCTCCACTCCCATCTGATCGCACTTGCTTAATATGCACTTTTCTGAAGAAAGATGTATTAAAATCCAGTCTGAGACACACAGATGGATGTGCAGTAAGCAAACCCTTGTGCGTGTGCTGCATCTTTAAACCCTAGCAGCATCAGACCTAATTTTAACACACACTCACTCAGGGCAACCAGCTGTGCTACTGGACTATGACATGAAAGTTTTATTTTATTAGCTTTTTGTGAGGTGAAAATGCCTCTGCTTTTGATGTGTGGCGGCTAGATTTCCATTCTGCAGAGGGAAGTTTCGGATCAGAGTGTCTCATGTCTTTGTTAAAAGTGTCCCTGGTGGAAAATTTCCAAGAGCAAGTCAAGCCAGCTTGAACTGGATACGTGTGCACTCATTAACGTCTGCACACAGAGAGAAGACGCTGGGAGTTCTCTGACACTGCATTTCCACATCTCTGTCAGATGAACTAAAGGTTCAGATAGATGTTGTAGCTCACAGGTTAGCCTGTGTGTATTTCCCAAAATATTATGAAGCACAGAAGCGATGAATACAAACACATGAGGTGAGATTTAAATATGAAGTTTGGTCTTTCAATAGACAGACTTGGAGCGCTCCAATTTATTGTGTATGGCTTGCTTTCATTTTTCTTGGACAAGGAAGTAAAGGTCTAAGAAACAAGGAACCCATCTAACGGGATATGCATATTGAGCTCATGTGGCCTGCTTTACTGAGCAAGGACCAGCTGCTTTATTAAACCAGACTCAGCACACATGCAGAGCCACAGAGTAGGAGTTCTGATTTTAAGGGTTCTTAATGTATAAAATGTTCAAGAGTCACCTCAAACATCTGAAAAGAAGTAAACCATCAACCAAGGGCTGATTCCTTACAAGCCATAAACCATTCACTAGACAGAGAGAGAGGGACATACTATCTTTTTATGCTAATATCAATGCTGAGAAGCCAATGCAGTAATTAACCTGTAGCTCATGAATCCCATTTGCCAAGCTACTCTGGCCATGCTTTGGTTGCTGACTTTGACTCCCTGCTCCATCTGTAACAGCACGCAGAAACATGACCTGGGCCTGGGGTCTTCCAGCGCTCGGAAGAGCTGGTGTTGAAGGGATGAGGGTAAGAGGAACTCTGATCTCCTGAATGAGGCCTCAGGTTATTCAGCTGCACCAGAGGTGACAAAAAGGAGGCCCACATCACTGCCAGCCCACACGTTACCTTCACAAATTAGGTGCCCACCTCCCAACATTAGGAAATTCCACTTGAAAGGTGTCTTATAAAATACCGGTGGGACTGCAGTGCAGACTGCACCATGCAGTTCTTTGCCTCCTCAGTGTCTGCTGCCTGGTAGATGGGAGGCGCCCAGTATGGTTGCTGATGAAGGACTCAGTGAATGGATGAGTATCTAAGGCACTGTCGTTTCTGTCTCCAGGGGCAGGGATGTCTGGGACCCATACCTTTAGCTGGTCATTTGTTTCAACATACGTATGGGACACAAGAAAATGAGCTTGAGTAAAAAGATGCCATGAGACATTTTTCTTTTGCAAAGTGAGATAAAAAATAAGTCCGGAAGACTGAGCCTTGACAAGGAGTTGGTGAGGGGTCAGGAGGCCCCCAGTGGCTGCGTGGTAAGCACATCTGACTCTAGTGGCTCGTTTGCAGGGCTGGCGACAGTTAGGGTCATTGTCCTTTTTGATTATGTTGAACTTGGGCATTCACACCAAACAGAAGATTTTGTAGAAATAGATATAAATGGACCCTAAAATGGGAAAGCAGTGCAAGATCACCAATAACTTCTGAGTTTAAGCTTGTGCAAATGTGCATGAAAATGAATGCTTCACATCAGCAAGCATGGGGATGCACTTTACATACAGTCTCATTAACATTTTAAAGCCTTTCGTTTTATATATATAAAAAAAGCCCTAAAAGTTGAGATCTAAAAGCCAATATTCTTTAGGGGGAAACATTTTCACCTCAAATACATCAATCACAAAAACAAAAAGCAAAAGCAAAACCTGATCAGATCTTAGGATTCATTGATTTTACAATTTAAAATGGAATAATAAGTATGTTTTGAAAACAGTCTTCTCAGAAATCTGCAGAGGGAGACAGAGACAGTGCGTACAGCTTATGTTCTCCCTGTGTGCCCGACTGAGTGTTATTTATGGACAATTATAAACAGTATCTGGGATGCTGACTCTCTTTTCTCTGTAGCATTCACAAATCCCTCTGAGTTTCTGGAACACATTAGAGGCTTGGCTCATGGTGCTTGAACCATGGAAAATCTGAAGGCTTCTCCAGTAACACTTGTGAGCAGAAGGTGTCCATAGCGTCCTGGGGGCAAGTGTCAGGGCAGAGGTGGTTCTTCCAGCACAATTCTTTGAAATCCTTCAAATTGTTTAAAAATTCTTGTGATAGTACTATGTCGCATGCCCATGTTTCTGTGAATACAAGGTGACTTTCTCCTCACAGATTTCTAGCACATGCTTCTGTTCCCAGGACACACTCGTGCAGGCCTCCGGCAGGGAGAGGACACTGCAGCACACTCAGTTTGTGAAATGCAGTACTCTACTCTCCTGTAGGTCACTGTGCCACTAATGGAGTAACACTTAGGAAGTGCCTGGTATAGTGAGTCTACTCAAAATGCTTACAATAAACACTGAGATGTTTATCCTCACAGTCCCTTTGCATCACATTCGTGTTCACTAATATTGGATCCTGTCATCTACAGACACTAAATTACGATAATTCATTTAACAAACATTTGTGGAGCACCATCAATCTTCTCAGTGCTGTTAGGGCCCTGAGGGATATGGGGGCTTATGTTATGATGGAGGAAACATGGTTTACACCATGCACAGCAAGTGGAAAACCTGAAAAAGACTTTAGAGCACAGATCTGCAGGACCAAGACGGCAGCTGTGAAGATGGCTTTGCAGTTCACGGGTTACTTCTGCAGCTCTGTCCACGTGCGAAGGAGACGGGGTTGACACAGGCATGTCCCGGGGGAGGCGGCCGTCCCTGGCCACTGTGTTCTGACTGTAATAATGGATACTATTAACTGTGCCTGCCCTGTTCACCTGCCCTCCAACAGTGCCCACCGAGCAAGGAGGCACAGCCAGAGCTCACAGCGAGGGGTCTGGAAGACAGGGATGCTCTCCAGTGATGCCACTTCCACGGTCTCGGCACCCAGCAGGACTGTCCCCAGGAAGGGGAGTAAGTACAAGCAGCCTGAGTCTTCTGTGGCCCTCTGAGGAGGCGGCTTTGTGTTAGACTTGGGAGCACTGTGCCTGCTGATTGCTAGCACTTTTATCATGAGCACACGCAACCGAGAGAAGCTGCTCCTAAAACTGGAAAAGCTCAAGCCATGTGTATAATCCACTTTTACTGAGGAACTCAACACATTTCATAAGAATCAGCTAATTTCACAATCAGACGGATTTTGTGTAACTACCCAGATATTCCCCAGCTCCACTCTGGACCATATTCATTTCATTTCATAAATCTTGCTGTGTTTTGGTTTTAAAATGTTTAAAATATTTAGAAAATTATGTAACAAAAACAATGACAGGGCCGGGGATCTAGCTCAGTGGTTCTGCTGCCTGCCTCACAAGCGGAAGGACCCGAGTTCAATCACCGTACCAAAAACAAACAAACAACAAACACAATGATAGCTTTTCCATAAAGTGGCTAACATCCAGAGAAAGAAAAACATAAAAAGAGTGAAGAACTCGACCTGCTATTTCATCCTTGTGAAAGAGACCCTGCAGCCAAAGGAAAGGACTTTTCCGAAACCTGGCTGGGGTGCAGACTGCCATTCATCTAATCCCTGAGACGAAGTCTCGGCAAGGCTGAAGAGCTTAAAACGCCCAGGAAGCAAGGATTGTGAAACTAAAGTCCCGCTGGAAACTGGGGCCTCGGCAGGCTGGATTCAGCAGCGAGTGCAGGCTCTGCGCGTCCACCCGACCACTGGGGTTCCCGGCGCGTGGATCTCAGCCCTGGTGAGAGCCGAACCGGCTGCTACTCACTGAGCAGCTTCACCAAACTGGGGAGGCGTAGACACGAGCATAGGGAAAAGGAAATAAATCGACCTCAGTGTGTTTGTAAGTTGTGTGAAATTTAGGAAAAGTTTTGAAGTGATCAGATAATTTTAGTGTGTTCATTATTTTAATGGGGAATTTGGTGCATTAGGCAATCTAACGTGATTTCTTTTTCTTTTCTTTTTTTTGGTACCGGGGCTCGAATCCAGGAGCTTGCGGTTGCGAGGCAGGTAGCAGCACCACTGAGCTAAGTCCACGCCCCATAACGTGATTTCAATTTAAAATATGGAATTGGTTTTCTTTTTCAGTTTTAAATCTGCAGGTGTTAGCATATTTGATGAATTATAGTGTTTTAAGAAAACCACATTTAGAACATCTCTAAATTTGAATTATTAATCTTCTACACACTGCTTAAAAGCTTAGGAGTGCTTTGGTTGTTAGGTTTGTGAGTCTGCCTTGTCAGGTACCTGAAGTGCTTGAAAAACATCAGACCTACTAAAAGTACAAATGTTGTTCAAAACATTATGAGGAATTGAAGTAATAATTAAGTTTCAAATGGAACTACGTTTTAGGGGAGTTGAGTTTAATAAACCAGTTAAATTACCTAAAAGAGAAACAGTGAAAACGACTGTGTAAGTAAGGTGGCCCGACTGATAAATTGTGAAGGCTTAAAAACCAGTGCTTGAAAATTCAATACTAACTTAGCTGTCATTTAAAAGCCAATTAAAGTTCCCTTGGACTTTAAGAAACTCAACTGACACCTCTGGTTTACTCCCCTGGGGTGTGACAGGTGCTGCACGTCCCCCAGGTGAGCTCGGCTTGTCCGGAGCAGGGCAGGTCTCCACTGTCCTCTGGGCAGGGAGCACTCTGGCCCGCCAGCCCTGACCAGATGAGACGAGCACACTTACTGGCTTCTTCTTTCACTTTGTCCATTTCTGCCATTAACGAAACTTCTTTGTCAATGATGCTGGGGAAAAACAGAAACAAGAGCAAGGACGCTCAATCAAACACAGAGTTTCAGGAGCAGGGGAGTAAGAGAAAATGAGCTGCATTAAACAAAACACAGAATTACCATAAATATTTCTATGCTAATGCTAATGCCAGCAGCACTCTCCTTCTCTCCGAAAGGAGGCAACAGGGGAGGGATGTTCCCAAGCATTACATGGCGACATCTGCTGGTTAAATCACTGTCAACTCGTCTCAGAGGAGCCTTTCAGACTCTCAGGACTGGGCTGCCTGGAACTGAAATCTGGGAGCGGCTTTGCCCTGTACACGCGAAGCTCCAAAGCAATGCAGTGAGTGTGCGAGAAGAGAAGAGCAGGTGGCTCTCGGCAACGCCTCTGTGCCCTCTCCGGGGAGGGAGTGCGCCGGGCCCCCTGGGACACAGCGCCCAGGGGCCACCACTATGCCTCTCTCAGTCTCCCAGTCCGCCTTCAAGGTTCGGCTCGTGAATCTCTTGGCCAGTCCCTTGAAAACGAGCTACCTGCGTGAAGTCCTCCGCAGCCCACGGCTCCCTCCCTTCCTCTCCCAAGCAACACTTCAGTACACATTCCTGCCGCATTCCACCGCAGGTTCTTATGTCTACACAAGCACAGATGTCAGTTGCTCTTTTTATTTTCATTTTGACCACAAATATTTCAGTATGTGTATCTCTAGAACGTTAAGGACTTTTTGGGACTGGAACCAAAGTATTATTATATCACTTAAAACATTAACAATAATCTAGTGATGTCAGATATCTATGCAATATTCAAATTTCCCCAACTGTTCCTCACGTCCTTTTAACAATTTATTTAAACCAGGACCTAACTTAGGCCTGTTCTTTGCAACTGGCTGACTAGACTCTGATGAGTTTGAGCCCACTAAGTTCTCTCTGTTTTCTTGTCCTTTATTTGAATAAACCAGGTTTTTTTGTTTTGTTTTTTGGTACGGGGACCAACTCGAACTAAGATCAAACTCGGGACCTTGTGCTTGCAAGGCAGGCGGCGGAACCACTGAGCTAAATCCCCAGCCCTAAACCAGGTTGTTTTTAAGAGTGGTCCAAGGCCTAAATTTTTAATTATACCTCCATGGTATTATTTAACCCATTCTGTTTCTACTTCCTATGCATTTGTTATTAGAGATGGAAATTCAATGAGACTTAGGTTTGAACTTTCTCTTAGATGGGACACTCTTAAGTGCTGTGTCTTTACCTGTGTGCTGATAAAATTATGCAACAAAGTATTCCTCTTGGGAAAACCAACTCCAAGTCTCATGAAGGCTCTACAGCCTATGATGAATTTATCATACACACAAAGGAAAAGGACAATGGCAGGGGACGTAGCTCAGTGGCACCGCCTGCCGCACAAGGTCCTGAGTTGGATCCCCGGTACTGCAAAAAAAATCCCCCAAAAATCAAACAAACAAAGGACATGTTTCTTTTTTACGATACTAGAAGCCACTGACCATCACTGTTTAGATCTACAGGACTTGCAAAATGGGGATATTCAAATGCTATCACCCTTTCTTCATTTATTTAATGGAATTCTAGAACGAGAGGCTTTCTTTCACCAACTATTTGCTTCTCATTAAGTATATTTTGTATAGGTAAGGCAGGATAAATGTTTCATTTTTTCTTTTCATCAGTTTTCAAAACAGCAATTGATTCCATGTCCTCCCCCAAAGGCGACCCATTAGATGTTTTGCTTTTTGGTCCACTTTGATTACCCACTCAAATTTAACGCCCTTCAATTTCCTGCACTTGCGGCCCTTATTGCTATGGCCATTAATCCATCAGGGTAGTTTCCCTCCATCAGATGCGCTTCTCAAACTTAAAATGTGCTCCAAATTTGTATTTTCTTAAGAATTCTGCATTATTTGTCAAAGTAAGAAGTGGTGCCTAGGACAACTTGAGAGCAGCTGAGGACCCGAGTAGAGGATGTGACTGGACAGACACCCGCAGGAGCAACTGTGTGCCCAGCTCAGCTCTTCCCAGCCAGCAAGCCCTTGTGGGAAGAGTGAGTAAGTGCAGGACATGCCAAGTTCCTCAAGCTGGGCTCAGAGCCCGCCTGCTGCCCGCAGACAGCACTGCTGACCCCGCGACACATGTGGCTTAAGGTCACGGACAGGGTCACTGTGGCACGGCCAGCATGTCAGCTGCTACGCCTTAATAACACTGGGTAGGTGTGATGGCAGCATGTGCTTGCTACACACAGGAATCCATGGTGCTGAAAGGTGAATGGATGGTGGAGTCTTCACTCAACCTACTCCAGTATGCTGGCTTCCCTTCCCCAGAGCTCTTCCCCAGTGTAGCTTCATACATTTCTCTCCAAAGTCCATCCACGCACACATCAGCATGTATGGGCCACTGTACGAAACCGTGCAGAGCTACAGCTTCTGTGATCACAGTGTATCTGGCTTTGCCGTCCGCTCAGAGGCAGCCCTAACAGAGGCAGGGGTGTTTCCCTTGCTAGGGGGTGACGTGAGAACCTGGAGGTTTGGAATCAGGTCTAGACTACAAGCAAGGGCCAGGCTAAGTGCCTTGGAGCAGGATTTGAGTTTTATCCCTACACAGGGGACAGAGGGGTGGGCAGAAGATGCTCCCAGGTGAGGGGACAGTGTGGACGTGTGTGGGTGACTGGCATTTCATTCCCACCGCCAGTGCCAGGAGCAGAGTGCACAGGGTTAGGACAGAAGGACAGGAATGTGGCACAGAGAGGCCAGGCAGGGAAGGGGGCAGAATATTCCGTCCTTCTGCCGATGTTATTGCCTGCGGGCCATGAGCCAGCCAAGGGCTTGGGGCTGGGAGCACAGTTAAGAAAGAAAAGAGAGAAAAGAAAGAAAAGAAGATGCTTCTCCATCCTTGTGGGGCTTACATCTTCTTTCAGGAGCTGCGGAGAACATGAGAACTCCCTGGGGGGACAGTGAGAAACAGAAAGGGGGTAAGGAAATGGGGGAGGCAAGCCAAGGACTCTGCCAGGCAGCAGCGCCCCGAGCCTGTGGACAAGGTAAGCCTGGAGTAGGGTGGCCTTGGGAGAGCCCACAGGCTCCCCTGGCCGTGGCCTCCAGGGTTGCAGGCAGTGGAGGGAGGAGACCCAGGCAGACTGTGCTTCAGACAGTGAGGTGCTGGCACCACACCAAGGAGGGTCAGGGAGGGGCGGCCACATGGAACAGCTCACTGTCCGCCGGGCAGGGGCACCCAGTGGAGCTTTGCAAGTCCTTTCAGCAGCGCCACCTGCAGCCCGACTGAGTCCTGCAGAGAAACAAGGCGCACAGAGGAAGGCAGCTCTGTGGCGGCCCTGAGCGGAGCGACCTCGGAGCTGGGGAGTCACACAAGCGGCACAGAGCGCCTCTCTGTCCCCCTGGGTGCAGACAGGCCACACTCCTGCTCATCAGGGTGCGGCTTGAGCTGCCTCAGACTGCGGGCCGAACGGGCACATCAGGCCCTGGGGGTTGATCTCCCGCGTGCTCCTGACGACCAGGAGGCATACGCCTGTGTGTGAGTGTAGCGGTGTCCGCCCAGCAGTGTTGGCTTGGCCCAGACGGGTCCTTGGCGCTGTCTGCACACCGGCGTGGTTTAGGCTTTGAAGTGCGTTCCCCACACATGCAGCACGGAGTGTGCCTGCTTTTCAGCAGTGGTCCTGAGAGGGACGGACACCCAGCTCTTTCACCAGCTTAGACAGAAGAGGCAGGAAACACGTCCCACGGGAACCAGGTGCGCGCAGAGCCCGCGCCAACCCTGCGTGTCTCAGTCGTGGCCTTCAGTCTTCTCCTTTCATCTCTGCTGCTTGATAGTAAAATTTTATTTTGTAGCCATGAAAAAGCTTGTATTATCAAAGCAATAAGGTGTAAGAAGATTACCACGGCAAAGGCTCTATGGCTTCTCATGCAGTTAATCACAGAGATAAAGTGTCATTTTATAAAATGTTTCCGCTGTCCTGATTTCTTTCTATAGGAAACTAATAGTAATAATAAAAGAATCAGAAGGCCCTTTAGTAGGAATAGATGTATGATTTTTTGCCTTGTGAAGGACTTGTCTTTGCATCTGGAGACGAAGACAGGGAGTGCCAAGCCTGCTTTGTCTGGGAGCTGGAGGAGCCATGTCAGGCCTGGTGCTCTCCAGAACTGCAACGCCACACCCCAGCCCAGGGCCACCTCGGAGGACCCTGAGGAGGGATCACGGGGAGCCTCTGTAACAGTAGCCAACACTGGGCGTCGGAGAAATGGCCCGGACCCTCTGCTGCTGGGAGTTTGCTCGGACCTTCTTGTGGATCAAGTGTGTCAGACAAAGTGGGCTGGAGAGGAACTGGATCTGCAGCCCCATCCCCAAGAAGGAGATGAAACTGCCCGGAGCATGGATGCTAATGGACGCTCATGGGCCGTTCCAGTCTTCCAGGCCTTTACAGACACAAGAGAGCACACAGTGAGCGACAACCCTTAGAGCCAGGCCTCCCAGTGTAGACTCAGCACTTCATCCATGCGTTGTGAAACCACTTCCCCTGTCTGGCTCTGCTCCTGGCCCACGGGATGAGCCTTGTGCCGCCCTCGGGCTCCTGGCAGCTCTGCTGTGCCCAGAGGCCCCCGGTGAAGCAAGAAGGGCCCGACTTCAGCCCCGCAGTTCAGGGCCTGTGTCCCTTCCTCGGGGAAAGGGACTCTGCCCACGGGCTGGGGACCGGGAAAACGTCGTCTGCACACTTAGGGCCAACCTGTGCTCCCACGGCACTGCTTCCAGTCCAGCTGCCCACACAGCGCAGTGGAGCAGGCCCAGGGAAAACCCAGCTGGGCTCTGCTCCCCCATGTCACAGCCTCCTTCTGCTGAGGGCCACCCCTGCAGCAAGGTGCAGAGGGCCCACACACCTGGTTCCCAGCTCTTCCTCTAGTGAGTTCCGGCCTGGCCCCTTCCCTATGCCCTGTTCGGCCGGGGCTGGGACACGGCCCCTGGAAAGCTGCCTACTGATATGTCCAACACGGAGCCCAAGCAGCTGAGCC